TTATTTTTAAAATTATATATATATATATATATATATATATATATGATAATTATACAGTTTAGCTACAGCACCTCAAAAGTCAATAAAATTAGGCTTATTCAACGACGCATTTTTGCACATGAACGAATCTGGCAAAAAAGTGTCGCTCTGTTCCACTAACCGAGATATTAAGCATTAAAGTTGACGACTATTGATGTTAGGAAACCTGTCAGCCGCGAAACAAGGTCTATAATTGTTTCGAGGCGGCTACACCGTCCCAAACAAAATAGAAATAACATATCCTACTCACACACACTTGGGGCCTAATTGTCTGGAAGTTGCAGCATAAACAGTAAAAAGACTGCTCTAAAAAGACTGTTCTCACACCCTACTGTCTTCATGAGTTAGAAATATTCCAAGTGGACACTATCTAGGTTACAACTTCTAGGCGATTAGACCACAAGCGGATAGGATGTTATTTGTTTTTTGTTCGAGGTAGCTCTGAACCAATAAGCACTAGTCTATACTCCACTGTCTTACATGACAGATTAATGATCGTGTTACGTAGTAACACTTTAGTCGACTTGAATGCTCAATATCTCTCTTTGTAGAACATTCCCTGATTTTTTTCTGTCAGATTCTTTCACAGGGTTGCCACAGACCTGGAAAACGGGGAAAACTGGAAAAAATTAGGAAAATTGAAATTTATCATGGAAATTGGAAAAAGTCAGGGGAAAATGTAAAAAAGTCTGGAATTTCAAAATTTGCTCACAATTTCCTTAAACTGCTCCTATTCCAAATAATTGTTATAATTTTTTAAATATTATATCTAATGTTTATAGTTTAAAACTTGCAGACTTTAAATAATTTTAACAAAATAATTCAAATTTATATTTTATTCAATATTTTTATTTTATGTCTCTTTCTTATCTGCGTTCTTTTTTTCAAAACTAATTTTTTTGCTGGCTTGATTTTGCACCAAAAATTTTACTAAGCTATTAAACTTTTTTGCGTTTTTAATAATATAGCTTTCCTACAATTCTTTTAAGGTGCTATAGCTAAAGTGTATAATTATCATATATTTCAAGGTATATAAAAGCTGTGGATATGAAGAATTTATTTCTCTGATGACTTATAAATTATTACATGTCTGAATATTGGATCCATTATACATAAATTTGTGACTTTGATTTGTATTGATTTTCTGTATTAATATGTCGACAACTTTATTAATAGACACCAACAAATTTGGCCAGAGAATGTTGGAGAAGATGGGTTGGACAAAAGGAAAGGGACTTGGCATTAACGAACAAGGCATTACAGAATTTTCTAATACATCATACAAGAATGATACAACTGGTAACTAAAACATTCATAATTTTCACATAGAAGCTAATTATTTCAGAAGTGTCATACTGTTAAAAAAAATGTAATGGAAATAAATTTCAAGCAGGTACATTAAAAATATTTAATGCTGCTAATGAGATGAAAGTGAAGTTACAAGTAACTTAAATATAATGTTCACATTTATTAAATTTCGTGCAAATCCACATAGTTTAATAGAAGTATAGTAAATTTCATAAAATTTTATGAAAAGTACAATGAATTTGATACAATGAATTTGATTCTACAAATGTTTTAAAGCGGTTTTCGATTGATTAATTTGTAAAATTTGTTCTTTTAATTGGTCAATCAAACGTTTCAAAGCATTTGTAGTGAAACTTTGACTGCAGTCACAATTTCATGTACATATACGCAAATATACAAATTTCAATTATAGATATAAAATTTAATGTGATGTCATTAAATTGAATTTAATTTGTGTAACTTAAATGTACATTAAATTTCATGATATTTTTAACAGTTAATGTTTAAGCAGAATCTTATTCCCTTTCTAAAGGTATAGGATATGACAAAAGTTTTGAGGCATGGACTGAACATCAAGAGAAATTTGGAGGCTTTTTGCAGCAACTTAATGGAAATCAAAATCAAGATGCTCTTGAAGAGTCAGTAGACACGGATGCTAATTTCAATGAACAGTCTATTGAACTAAAATCTAAACAAAGTCATGCTCGTGTACAGTAAGCATATTATTTTCTAATTTCTGTAAATATAATATATAAATATAAGATGTGTATACACTCGGATTTAGACAAAGTTCAAAGTAATTTTTATGATGTTTAAGTATTTATAGGGAAATATACTAATATTTTTTTAAATAAAAATACTAATAAATGTTTCTTATTATATCATTTAAAAAATAAATTACTTTATTTGCAGTTACAAGAAGTTTACACGCGGCAAAGATGTAAATAGATATAAATCAAAAGATTTGGCAAATATATTTGGCCAAAAAGAATTAATTGACAAAACTCAAGTCATGATAGAAAAAAATAATATCCCGGAAAAAGAAGCTGACAACAGAGACAATTGGTATGGAGTCAACACAATTAATGGAGGTAATATGGTTGATTACTTCAAACTTAAGTTAAATAGTAATGATATGACTGATTACTTGAAATATAATGTAAAACCAAAAACCGATACGAACTTATCAAGTATAACTGATCGAACAACTGATTCTGAAAGTGAAAATAATCAACACATTGGTTTCGAATTTACACTAAAAACAGAAGATACATCAGTGTCTAATTATGGAGCGTCAAAAAACTCTGATGATAAGAGCAATTATGCTTTTGATAATCCTTGCTTGGGATTGAATAGTTCTTTAAAAACTGCTTGTAATACCAATGACTCTTCTGCAAAGTCTATAAAGAAAAGAAAGAAGGATTTTGAAGGTGATAATTTGCATATCATTGAAATAGATAAAAATAATGCTAGAAAAAAATTAAAAACTGAAACTATTGATAGTGATTATAAAAATGGTTTTACTAACCCAGCTCTTAATCTAGACACAAAGTCTGAGGAGGATTGCAATGGCAAGAAATTTGAAGTATTCAGAGCACAGCTTGGCCTTGAAAATTGTGGTTTAGATCTGACTGACGAAAGAAACAACAAGAAACGCGTAACATTTAATGATCATGTCATGTTGTACAAATATAATGTAAATTCTACTAAGAAGAAAAAGAAAGGAGAAGCCACATTGGATAAATTTGAAGTTGAAAATAAGAAGAATAAAAAGAAACGAAAACACGAGAGCATTGCGACTTCTACAATAAACGGAATTGTTAACGAAGCGTTAGACATACTAGTATTACCCGAAGAAATTAATGATAATGAGTTGAACGAACACAAGAATAAAAAAATTAAGAAGAGGAGAATAAGTAAAACGTCTAATCTGGAAACGATACAAGAGTCACCAGAAAAGGAAATTGAGATTATTATAGAATCAGGAAATACTTTAGATTCTAATATTATTGAAAATGGGGAAATGGACAATGCGGAACAAAAATCGAAGAAAAAAAAGAAGAAAGATAAAAAAGAGAAAAGAGGCAAAGTTGAAGATATTACAGTACTTCGTACCATAAACGAAAAACCAGATATTGAAATTATAGAAGTAATTAGCAATAAAAAGATCCCAAAAACTAAAGACAGTAAAGAAGAAGGAACGGTACTATCTAATAAATGTAAAAAGAAAAAGAAAAAAGATAAGGAAAATTGCAAGAATGAAAAACATATTCAAACTGAAATAAATAATGATCAACAAGATATTAAGATATCGGATAAATCAAACTCAAAACAACAAAATGATTATTTAATCGAGAGTGAAAATAAGGCTGCAGTAATAATTGAAACATTGCAGTGCACAGTTCCTGTGACTGAAGAAGAAGAATCGTTAGAAAAAACTAAACAAAAGAAGAAAAAAAGAAAACACGTCAACAAAGAAGAATGTTCGAGTGAAATTAATATATGTAATATAGAGAGAGAAATCTCTGATAAGGAAAACGCTGACAAAGAACAAACTTCAAATACCAAAAAATTAGCAAAAAAGGATAAAAAAAGCAAGAAATTAAAAGATAAGAATGTATCGGACGTAGAAGATTCTTCCAATCTTAACGAAGAAGTTGTAGACCTAAATGTTACAAAACTGGACAAGATAGAAAATACGGAGTTTACTGATACACCTTCAAAAAAGGGAAAAATTATTGATGTTATCGACAATATAATCAATAGTCCATGGAGTGTAAAAGCAAGGATGCCAAAGAAAATGTTAATAACACTTTTCCATAACAATGCAATATTAGAGTTCCCAGGTTCGAATATTCACAATATAAAGGGATATGGTACAGATGTTGAAAGCGAGCAATAATATGTGGAATAATTTTGGTAATGTAACATTTTTTGTAACAAACGGTAAATAGTCTCTGGCTTGAGAAGAATTTTATACTTATAATTATACAAAAATATAAAGTAACTAACAGCTCAATAAAATTAAAAATTCAATACGTCAAAGAATCAAAAAACTATCATGAGCCAACGCTGGATGTTACATGCAGAAATAATATACAGTCGTCATAAATAATAAAAATTAACAATAAATTTTACAGACCTTTCGACCTTTAATTTGATCATTGTCAATGATAATACAGATTAAAATCTATATCATCACCATGTCGTAAACAAAATCCGTTGATGTATACATTGAAAGTGATTTATCCTCTTCTAAACTCTCCATATTATTATAAGCATATTACAACCATGGTGAAAGAATACAAATAAAACAACGCGCATAACGACAATTCAGAGCAATTAGCCAGCAAATCCAATTCTGTCATAGATTCAATTCTGTCCAATCTAATTGTGTTCAATTACTTTTTGCATTCTTAGAACAAATTCTAATTGGTTATAACCAAATTGGCTATTGTGCATCTCTTAAATTGTTCACCTATTTTCTTCCACTACAATTACAATAAGACAATTACATTTCCAATATAATTGCGCAGAATATGTATAGATGCGATAACCTGGGTACCAATCCATGTACTCTCAGACATTTGCAAGTTGTCCAAAAATATATTGCATCCTCAAATTCAACAAATTTGCAACAATTAATTTTAACAGTTACAGTTAGTAAATTAACCACTCATTGATTCGCAAGGAGAATGGTTACAAGAATTGTTCAATTAATTTTTAATTTTGAACTGTTTTATAAATCGTTTGTTACAAATTAAAATTGTTGCGAATTTGTTGGATTGAGGATGTAATACATTTTAGACACATAATTTGCAAATGCCGAGAGTACACGGTTTTGCATCCAGGCTGTCCTCGCATCTACATATTCCAATTGTAATGGAAATGTAATTGTCTTATCGTAATATACTTATAATAATTTGGAGAGTTTGAAGGAAGACAATCACTTCCAATGTACATATCAACGACTTTTTATGTTTATGACATGGCAATGACATTTATGTAGATTTTAATCACTAATGACTTAATGATACATTAAAGATCGAAATATCTGCATAATTTATTATTATTATTATGAGTTATTATTATGAGTTTGATTGGAATAATATAAAAATACTTGATGAGGAAAATACGTTAGACAAAAGACTTATCTCGGAAATGATTCATATTCAGAAACAGAAAAATAATTCGAACATGCAAACGGACACAGATTTGTTAAATAAGAACTGTGAATGATTATTTATAGACTAATGAATTTCTCTCTCTTCAATTTTTCTTTACTTTGTTTTTAGGATGAAAGGACGGAAATATTATTTGTGTTCAGATGTGTTCCGTCTTTTCACACGATAATTTCGTATTTTCTAATCTCAACATTACATGTAGGTTATTAAATTATAAATACTATCATTTGTAATAGGTATGAGAGTGTTGTATTATCGAAAAAATTTCATTATGTTAAATATCTTTTTTAAACATTTAATAATTAACGGATATATGTTTGTAATTAGCGTTCCGGGAAAATCAATGATACGTTATCGAATTTTATATATTGATAAGGATCCGAAGCGAGGATTGAAACGTTTGGTAACGAAATTATCGAATAAATTTATTTACACACGAACTACCAGTGTTTGACTCGGAAAGGCAGCTTCATGTACATAGATTTATTCAACTGAATCTAATTATACCATCTATATATTTTTTTTATTATTATTATTGTTGATTTTTATTATTTATGACGACTATGTATTATTCCGCATTTAACATCTAAACGTTGGTTCATGATAGCTTTTTGATATTCTTTGTATAACAATATGTGCATGTTACAATTACAAACAATTTTGTAATTATCATATATGCATTTATGTACAGAGTGTTTTATTTCGAACGTAATGGGTCAAATACCTCAGAAAATATGAAAGATACGAAAAAATATTTTAGATGAAAGTGGAATGCTTTCGAGGGAGACATGTTTTGATCACGTTTTTTTTTTTCGAGTGTAGTTCCGAATGACTCCTGCTCGCGATTGATCTGAAATACTTTACATATAAGTTTTTGATGTAAGAAATAAAAAAACTTACAGTCTTAATTTCGGGAAATGAAAAACAAATTTTTTTCATATGACAATATTGACTAAAATCCGGATCGATTAAGGAAATACGCGAGGGGGTAACCATTAGCTGAAATATTGTCCCACAGATTACATGACATATGAATTCATCTGATTACAAATAATTTTTTTCGCTACATATGAAGTCGTTTGGTATAATATACGAATTTATTTAATATTATACAATGATTTATCGCGGTTGCATACGTAATTATTGGATTATACATAGAAATTTAATATGAATTTTATAATGATTTCGAGGACTCTGTCCCACGATTACATTAAGTGGTTACCCCCTCGGAAATACGACTTTTCACGTGAAGCGACTTCCACCCCATCTCCTCCCCCTCGCTTAGAGGCGCACGACTTCCTCGCGAAGCAACTCCCACCCTACCTACTCTCCCTGCTTAGGAGCGCACAACTTCCATCCCATCTCC